GAGAGTTCAAATTACTGGGAGAGACTAAAGCTCTTTTCTTGAAGGAAGAAAATGCAGATACGGGTTCGGATTTTAATATCTCATCGGCTGGTGATTAAACTCAGTAAGTGCTGGTGGGGAAATTGATGCAGCCAAAAGTAGTCTTTTTGAGGAGTTTTGCAATGTCATCCTTGTCGAAAACATGTATCACCTTTTGTGGATTTTACTTTGTTTTAATGCTTTATCTGAACTTTCTGAAGAAGCTAGAATCATGACCATCGAAAATTGAATCATGCATGACTTGGGCATTTCTATGAAACTCTTACAAAAGTTTCGTTTTGTTTATATCAAATGTTCTTTTTGTGTTGATGAAAGTTGTTTGCTTTTAGTCAAGCAGTGGAATGTGAATGGGTTGGCTTCATAGCCTTCCATGATATGTTTATAGACACTGATATATACACATGAATTGTGCATATGTCCTTGCAAATGCAAATTGACTTGGATAGACTTTCATTTTCGCCCACTACATTTCTTTTACTTGTGAGCATTGTGCAATCTTTTGTACAAGTTCATATCGGGCATGGTTATTGTTGCCAATATTTAGAAATGATTTGTTGCCAATATTTTTCAATGATATGTGAATGGTGCAGCTTTAATCCTCCTTGTATGACAATTAACAAAAAATTGTGTTTTTTTGAGAGTAACGTTTCAATGCCCCCAGAAATCACATGACTAATGTATGGTTCTTGCGGCCATTGGTTCAGTGCCCTTATAGAGTACAAAATAACTTCTCAAAGATTAATAGGAATTTGGAACCAATTGTTAATTTATTTTGATGATTTATTTAATTATATTTTAATTTATTTGAAAGAGAAAAATAGAATCCAAAATTTATTTCGATGATTTATTTAATTATATTTTAATCAAAATTTATTTTGATGATTAATTTGAAAGAGAAAAATAGAATCAAAATTTATTTTGTCTCATTATTTCTCACCTAAACCTTTATCCTAAATATTATTAGAATGTATTTAATATTTGATTAAATCAGGAATTCAAACAGCCCAAAATAAAGGTTCAAATAGCCTAACACAACAGCAGGTCAAAAGGTTCAAGTGAAAGATATCAAATTAGTAATGATGGAAGTCCAACGGCTATAAAGGTTTAAAAGGTCAAAAGGTTTAAAAGGTTCAAGTGGAAGATATTCAAATTTATAATGATGGAGTGGAAGATATTCAAATTGGTAATGATGGAAGTACAACAGTTATAAATGGCTATAAATTCAAATGACTACAACGGTTGTAAACGGTTATAATTTTCATTATATATACCAAAGCCTCTAATGTAAACAAGTTATAAAAAAACCTGAAAATATTCTTTGATCTATAATCACTCACATCTTTTTTCAGAAATTATACACTGAGCTTATAGCTTTAAGCCCATCTTTTCTGTGTGAGATTTACAGAAAAATCAAAACTTCATTTTATATATCTATCTTTGAGAGATATTTATTGTAAGCTTTTTTTGAAAGCAAAAATACTATTTCATCTTGTAAAAGTGTTGCAAACACTGTGTTCTTGAAATCTGGAGAGTGATTGTGAATCACCTAAGATTTGCAAGGGTTTGGGCATGTGAAGTCTGTGTAAAATTCGTGGAGGATTGCTCCATTTGTAAAGAGGTTGCTAGCACCCCTGTGAAGCTAGAAGATAGTGAAAAATCTCAAGTGAAGTTTGAGGAGTGGATGTAGGTTTGGTTGAAGCCAAACCACTATAAATTTGTTTGTCTCCTCTTCCCTAATCTCTTTACTTTCTTACTACTGCTATAGCTATCTAGTATTCATGTGTTAATCATCTGATTTATCTTGTATGTTAATTATACTTCATTGTTATTTTACTTGATCATTTACTGCTAAGTTCATCATTATGCTTGTTAATAATTTGTTGTACCAATAGTTAATTTTATTAGCGTATTATTAATTTTAATTTGTAGAAACTTAATTCACCCTCCTCTTAAGTTGCTTTTTGGATAACACCAATCTTGCCACACACATAAGTTTCTAAAAAAAAATTACAAATAGGTTAAAAAAATTATCAATTTTAATAATTAAAATTATACATTGTTTTCATGAATTTGTAAATATTTTGTTAAAATATCACTTAATTGTAATTTTTTCTTGATATTTTAGGCTTCTCTATTCATGAGTTTTGTTTTGATAATATATTTTCTTTCAGAATGGTCTGATTTAATAATATGAGTTGTTCATTTTGTATGATGTTTTTATGTATATTATGTACAAAAAAAATTAAGTCAATTTGATAAGTGTAGCATTTTCATTTTATTGTATTTATTTCTAAAAAAGTGAATGATTTATTTTAAAAACATACTTGTTTATTTTTTCATAAACAAACGTCATAAAATAAAAAAGTTACAATTATCTAATTGATTTAATTTTTTCTATGTATAATATAATTGAAGGCTCTACAAAATGAAAAACAAGTTGGAATTGTCGGAATAGGACCCGTGGTAGGGCTTATGGGCTTCTAAATTTCTGAATTTGAGAGAAATTCAACCCATCCATTCTACAAACCATTTTTAGTTTCTATATATAGGCCATATTTAAATCATAACTAATCAAAACCAATAATTATAAATATTATTAAAAAAATCATAACTAAACATATAGTACATCCATTTCTTTAGTATATCATAGAATTTTTTATACTCTTATGACATAAATCAAACGTTGTACATGAGTGAGGGTAAGTTTAGTAGCATCAAATAGAAGCTAAAAATCATTAAAAAATAAAAAAAATTAAAGAATACAAAAAGTCAAATATTCTATTTTTTCTCTGTTTTCATACATTTTTTAGTAAAAAAATCAAAAAATATCCAAAACATACCTAATTTTTTTAACTCATATTTTTATTAAAAAATTATTAAAATAACTTATTCCTAAACCGATCTTGAATAATTTTTTTATTTTTAACAAACCAACCTTGAATATGTTATTTGTTTTTCTTATCACTGAGACATATACATACGTTTCATATTTATCTATTAATGTAACCTTACTATTTTTATTTTATTTTATGAAAGAAATTTATTATTTATGTATAGCATTACTCTATTATTTATTATATAATGTCAATATTGTATTAATGACAAATATAAGCTGTGAGATTCACTTAATGGGAAAATATCAATTTAATCCAATTTTTAAAAAATAATTACATATTAATAATAAACTTTGTAAACATTGAAATACTAAATTATAAACTTTCCAATGAGTATATAAATATTTTTTGAAAATACCACTTATATGTAATTTTTCCTTCATTTAAATTGATATAATGATGGCATAAAGGTGTTAAAAAACTGGTCAAACTATAAATTGATTTGAATTTGTATGTCTTTTTTTAGTTTTTTTTAGGGTACAGTTTGATTTTGGATTAAAAAAATTAATTTTTTTTTTATTATAATCTTGATTCACAAATTAAGAGTCAAAACAATCGAAAAAATCAAACTATCAATTGATTTTATTAAGTTGTTCCACAATGTACTTGCCATCCATTTTTCTCATTGACTTTTTTGAAACTTCAAATTACCCAAACCTCTATCCTCAATGATTCCCAGTTGTCGCAAACCAAAGAAGGAGCCAGAAAGAAAGATCTCGAATATATGGTTTGAATAAGAAGAATGAGAAGGAGTTAGGGCAATGATGTGGAGAAAAAATGAAAATTGTGTAGTAGCCAAATACGTGACGCGAGAAGGAGAGCCGGTGACCATAGCATCGGTGACCATAGCAGTGACAATGGTTTAAGTAAAAAGGATTGAAAAAGGAATGAGTAAAAGATTATGGTCAAGTTTGGCTATCCTAAATAAATACATATTTTTTATCTTTTTATCTTTTTTCCATCACATCATCTCTCTATTTTTCTGCACATTTTTTCGTAAAAAGACAAAAAGTACATTTATTTAGGTCATCCTAAACAACCCCTTAGAACTATTGAGAGTGGTGGTTTAGGGGAGAAGACATCTCTCTTTATTGGTGTGACTTGAGTTCGATTTTTGAGAGGGATGAATTCTACAACTTCGCAGTTAGTTCGCTTTTGAGACTGCCTGTACTTTCCTTGAAACTTGCGCTCTTTTTAACTTATAGTTGAGCTCTATTCATGTCTCGGTGATGGATCATTTCCTTAGGGTTGGATTAAATCAGGTCGGCAATCGGCTACCCTGCGACCTGGATCCACGGATGCAGTGATGACACGTCAGAACATCATTTTTTCTAGTTCAAAAAAAAAGAAAGAAAAAGAAATTAGAATTTTAAAATATTAGAATTTGAATAATTTTTGATAATTTTAATGAAGAATTATGTTATACACACTCCATACCATATATATTTTTAGTTATGTTATCTTTTTTTCTTTAATTATAATATTATTTTTATGATTTTTGTATATTCAGTTATGATATTTATTTTTTAATCATGACTCATATTCAATTATTTTAAAAAAAATTTAAGGTGTAACTAATTATTTTGTATACCCGAAAAACATAACTATTAACCGAAATTTTTGGTCTTAGAAAGCAAGCCGATATTTCGGGCAATCGAAACCCATTTTCCATCTAACCAAACAGAGAATCTAGTCTTCTCCACTGACCTGAACACTCCAAAAACCTCAAAACCCTAACACAAACCCAACAACAATGGCGAATAGACGTTGCCTCCACACTCTGACGCGCCACTACATTTCCATTCTCTACTCATCAAACCCATCTCATCTCCAATCTCTCAAATCCCTAAACCCTGCCCTCCTCCAAACCCTAATCCAACCCAATCCTCTCTCTCCTCAAACCCTCCTCTCCCCCAAATCTCACCTCATTTTCACCCATCTTAGACCCATTTCTTACTCACAATTCACACCCACTTGTCGTTTCTCTTCTCAGCGAAGCGACAACGAAGAAGAAGACGATGACAAAGAGGGTTTTGATGATGACGATGACGACGACGACGACGATGATGATGATGATGATGATGATGATGAGAGTGTTTCGGCATCGAATTGTGGAGTGAAGAGAGAGTATACGTCGGAGGAGAAAGAGGAGGAGGCGGCAGCAATTGGGTATAAAGTGATTGGCCCTCTAGAGCGCTCCGACAGGGTTTTCAAGCCCTACGAGCTGGTTTTCGCTGTTGTTCAGGTTCGATACTTGGTTCGGATTTGATTGAACTAGGCACATTGATGATTGGTGTTGAATACAATTTGCTTTTGTAATTGAATTTATGTACTTAATCTGTTTTTTTGATGATTCGTGTAGATTGGTTCACACCAATTTAAGGTGAGCAATGGGGACTGCATTTACACTGAGAGATTGAAGTTCTGTGAAGTGAACAACAAGGTCAGTTGCTATCCTATTTGCTTGCAATGTATATACAGTGATGGTATTGTTTTCTATGGTTTTTGCTACCCTTCATTTTTGCCTTGTGTGGTATAGAGTCTTTAACTAGACACTTGTTATGACAATTGAACTGGGTAACCACTTGTTTGTTTGATGGCTCATTGCATAACACTCCTCAGTTTGATTTTGTCATTACATTACCCATCATAAGCAAAAGGTTACCTCTTGAATACAAATCATGATTAAGAAGAGCTAGAATTGCTCTTATTAACAGGACTTCTTTTGCTAGCTTTTATTTTTGTTCAGATAATCAATTATTCTTGACCTTGTTAGTGGATTTTATTTTTTTGGTGTTTTTGACAAATGCTTGTGAGCTCTCAATTTAAAATATGTATGTCTATGCACATATATGCATACTCACAACACATATACATGCGTATGCTATGCAGTTACAGGGATAAAACCATCTTCTTTTTGTTAAGTGAGATGTTAATATATGAATTTGTGTACAAACAAAGTCTTCCTTTTGTTATTGGAGAGGTTGATGTATATTGCCATCATCATTGTCTTGTCAAATGTGAATGCGATTTCAAATTTGGGCATAAATGTAGCTAGCAAATGTTACATTTTTTGTTTGATGAAGTATATTTTCAAGGTGATGGTTGTCAGATTGAAATAGGGACCAGGAGTTGATAATGTTCAAGATGAACAATCCTTGTTGGGCATGCCTTTGGGGTCATCATTAGGGCAGGGTCTGTGTGACTAATTGCATCTAGTTTAGCTTGCCTAAAGACTCATGTGACTAAGTGCATTTTGTCTAGCTTGCCTACTTACCTTATGTTCACTAATCCATCTTCAGTAGCAAAGAGTCTTGAAAAGATCTTGGCTTTAGAAAATTTATTGTGAATGTGATAAATACTTTAGGGTCATGAGTTGTGATTGTTAAGCGTGATAGTCAAGGGTTTAAATAACAGTGGCAGCTTTCATAGGCAGTAGTCCATGGTGGCGATGCGGTTTCGGCATGTAATGGAGATTTGTGTAACGGTAGCGGCCATCAAAGCCGTGAATTTTTTTTCTCTGCACAAATTCGCCAAGTGATAATAATACACGTTTCAACACTTAGAATCACAAGCCTTTATGAAGTTATAAACATTTTTTATTTTTTGCAATGAATTTTACATTTTCTTTGGATATGTAATGAGTTTGATATTAGTTATCACTATCAATAAGAAATACTTTCTTCTTGTTTATTTTTTATACCTATTGTTGGTTTCTAATTAAGAAAAATAGACTGAATAAACTGAAATCCTTCTTCAAAACTAAACATACCAAAATTCATATGGAAACATATTACCTTAAAACAAAGTAGTAGTATTTTTATTTTTTTGAATTTGCTTGACAAGAGAGTCTTAGTTGGGATGTTTTGAAGTGACATCCTACTAGAATGTTTTGATGGGTGATAGAGGTTCCGGCTTGTGGAAAAATTCATGCTTTTTGGTTATTCTATAAGGAGAAGACTTATATTACCAGAAAATGCTAATACCCTAGCGAATTACATACCAATACCCACGTTCCAAAATATGGTATACTTGTGTTCCAAAACGGTAAATTTAGCGATCTGAAACAATCCCAAAAGTTTTTTCAATAAATTTCTTTAAATGTTTCCTTGGGAGGAAAAATCAAATATAATGAATTAAAATCTAAGGTAACTTAAGTTTTGACAAGACAAAACATAAAAAATGGGTCATAGTACTCATAGAAATGCTTTGCTCCATGAAGAAGAAAAATTAAATTTTATTAGATGCCTAATAGTTGAAAGAAAATTACTCTAAAAGTACCTTAAATTTGCAAGTATAATATACACAAGTCGACTTCTATCGTACTGCATTTTAGAGCATGTGGCGTATGATGTTCCTGTTCCCATTCCCTGTACTGGAGCGATCCACGTTCCAGATAACATAGACATATAATGTTGAGTTGGTGTTGTATGAACAAACATGATACAGAAGTCAACTGCCTTTTTAATTCTCATACATTATTTTGCTGCTAGGGAGCTTTGTATTGATGTTAAGCATGTTTGGATTGTAGTATTGTGATGAGCTTTATTCATGGTTGGAGAGGAGTGATGGTGTGAAAGAGAAGAAAGAAAGCTTGGTTTTTGCCTCCCTTATTCTTGACATCAAGAATTTGGGTAGAGCACAACAAGAGATCTTCTGATGGGGGCAAGGGAACCTTTTTATAAATTGAACAGCGTATTTTTGTTTCTTTTGTATGTCGGCATATAGAGATTGCTACCCCACCTGTTGATCAATTTTTGGATTTTGTTGAATCTTTGGTAACGAAAGAGTTGCATAAGCGATTTGAGTTTCAATTTAAGTTGAGGTTGAGGTTGAGGTTATGGTTGTTTGTATATGGTGGCATCCCCTTTCAGTGTCGTTGGACAACATAAAAAATAATCCATTGAAATGTCTAGGTGCCTTGATATCTTTCCTAACTCCTTTCATAGTTGTCAATCATATTGTGACTCGTGAGTAAAAATCCTAAATTTGCAAATTGTGAATTAAGCCAAATCAAGAATTGTTTTATGATTAGATAGATGATATAAAAAAATGATGTATCATATATATGAATTTAAAAAAAAAATTGATTTTGGCACTTGTTATACGATAGTTTTTATATAAGGATGTGGTTACGCCACCTAATTTGGAAGACATTGCCTTCATAGCAAGATATTTGGGTTCAAATTTCCACCAACTATAACATTATTTAAAAACCGTAAATATATTTTTATTGACATTTTAGAAATGGAGCTAGAAACCCTGAATAAATAGGGTAGAATAAGAAGAATGAGTAAGTGAGAACCCTTTATATTTAAAAAAAGAAAAAAAGCAGTTGTTGAACTGTTGAGTACTTAACTCATGTTATGTTTAATAATTCTCCAAATTGTTAAGATAATAACTAGTATACTCTACACTTATTACTTAACGTTTCATATTTAACTTATACATCTCCCTTTCCTTTATAATTATTGTTTAACCAGGAAAGATAATTCTTTCTTTCCCTTAATCAAGTATTGTCTAAACAAACAAGAGTTGTAATACCTCTCCACCCCCCATCTCCCTTCCCTTTATAATTATTGTTTAACCAAACAAGAGGATGGAAAGATAATTCTTTCTTTCCCTTAATCAAGTATTGTCTAAACAAACAAAAGTTGTAATACCATCCCCCCCACCCCCCACAAAACCCCTCTCATGCCTTCCTTTCCCCTCATAACTAAAATTGTCCTTCACTCCCCCTCCTCTCAATCCAAATGGAGTGTTAGCTTTAAACATCCTTAAAAGATATATTGTGACATTTTTATGAGGACGAAATGATATCTAATTGAATCTTATAAACTATTTGATCACCAAAATAATAACAAGTTATGCATAAGTATTGGTTATTTTGTACTAAACACTCATAAAAATTGTATTCTATTGTTTTTAACCAATAAAAGAGATAAAAAAGAGTTAGGATCTATTGAATTCAATAGTTTCAGGAATTGCATAAATCATAAAACGTAAATTGAATTTTGAATCATGTGATTCACCATCTATTCTATTTCCAAATAGATTCATCCCTGAATTTGCATCATAGAATATCCCCAAATAGATTCACCCCAAAAATCGCATCATAGAATATCCCCAAATAGATTCACCGATAAATTTGCATCACTCTGTATATGAATCTTGAATGAAACTGTGAATCATAAATTTTGATAACAAAGCTCCTTTCTTCTATCGAATATTGCTTTCATTTCATTCTTAGTGACTTTTGTTTTATGGAAAGAACATTGAAGAAATGCATTAGCAATTTTTTTCCCTCCTTTCTAACCAATTTGTCTAGCAAAAAGAAAAAAATAATAAAAAAATAAAGGTTCTGTCTTATATCCTCCAAAGCTAAGAAGAGCACCAAATGTGTCATTATTATTAGTTTTTATTTTTTTATGCTTCAAACAATAGCGGGACATGCATCTATTACACAAAAAACACACTATAAGTATGAACAAATTAACTTTGGATTGTTTAACTTTAGAGATTAGTGTCGTGTAACTTATGTTGTATTCTTTTCTTATTATCTTTGAATGAAGTATTTATATATATGACATAATAAATATAAAATGCTAAATATTTTGTGCATGTCCCTCACTTATAATGCCTTGCATTTTATTTTTTTTTGAAAATTGTTGTGTTGTGTCCCATGTCTGTGCTTCTTATCTTTAATGGAGAAACAACACCAATAATAAAAGTATTATACAGTTTTTTGGGTTGAAACCTTTTTTTTTTTTTTTTTTTTTTGTGTGTGTGTGTGTGTGTGTGTAAAAAGAAACATTTTCACTTATCAGTGTTCAGTCAACTGGCTATGTTCAGTCCATGTGGAAAATATCAGTTGGCATTTCACAGAGAGCAGTGAGCCATCATGTGGCAATTATTTGTGTAATATTTGATGAAGTACAAAAGATTCTGGTCTATGATTTGACAGTACTCTCTGTTATCAAGCATCGATGTTGTTAAAATGAACAATATCACAAGCAGTCAAAATTGGATGTTTTCAGAATTGAATGTCCAGTTAGGTTTTTAACTTATCACACTGCTCCTTGTATGTCTTTAATAATAAGCTGTGTGCTGGAACTAGTCTTTCCTTTTCTTGTTATTACCATTGTTGCCATTGGTGTTGCTGTGGTCTTGGCGGTGATGGATGTTGTTGTTTATGTTTTCATTTTTGCTTTATTTATTTAATTTTTGGCTGTTGCATATCTGTTTGAATTAGTTTGCTTTGTAAATGCTTTGCCTTTGTCCTTCCTTAAATCTTATTGCTGTTGTTTTCTGTAGTTTGATGGTTATTTCTTCACTTTTACTTGGACTAAATGTAATATCTTTTCCATTTATAATTCTCTACCTGTTGTATTGCAGCTGATTTTAAACAAGGTTCTCATGCTAGGTTCACAGAGTCAGACCATCATTGGCAGGCCCATATTGCCTGATGCTGCAGTTCATGCAGTTGTTGAGGAGCATGTAAGAGCGTTATTTGATATGCTTGTTTATTGTGCTAAAATCATGTTTTCTTCTTCCCATTAAAAAATTGAAGTACATCCAATATCTGATTGAGTAGAGCTTTTGAAGATGGCAAAAAAAAAAAAAAAACTAGAGAATTTTGAAAAAATGTTGTTAATAACTTTGCCTTGTGATTTTAGCTCTGATATGAAATTACTGTATGGATGAGTGGAAAATTTTTATAAGCCATAAATTGACGTGCATGTTCTGGCAATCCCCAAATAATTGACATATTAGCTTCTTATGATGGTTCAACTGTTCTAAGTATACAATTTCCTAAAGCAGGCAAAGGTGTTATTGTGAGTTGAAGGTTTTACAGTTGCATGGTGATGGCATATTTGAAATAAAACAAAACTTCTATTAAATTGATATTTGAAGGCCTGTTCTCGTGGACCTTTCTAGTGAACTTATAAGAGTTTAGATTGAGATAAAATGAACACTGAATTGCCAAGGCACAAAACAGTCGCATAAAAGCATTGCATATTAAAAGATGATTGAATAGGTTTTTAGAGTTTTTAAGCTGTAAGTAATAGGGGTTGCTGTCTTTTAATGTTGGGATATACAGTTCTTGACATCTTGATTGCGTATCCCCATTATACACAACGTGACCTATTAATTTATATTTTCAGGGCCCTTTTCCCTACCAGGCAACCCAGAAAGCTCTGTGGGAATTTACCTTTTTTTTTTAGTGCCACTAATTAGCTCAATCAGTCAAGAAAAATAGAGATACTGCCATTGTTCATGTTGTTGTTGAACTTATGTCAACTGTAAGCTACATTGCAGCTTGACTGTCTGTGGAACACCGTCTATTATGGCAAAAGCACCATAGGAACAAATTTCTCTGATATAAGCCTATAACTTTTCTTTCTCTTAATATTGTAGCTCTATACATATTGGATTGGCACATTACATAATTGGCATGGAGGCTTCAATTAGTTAAAATGTAATATATTGTTTGTACATTTGATTTGCCTATCAGTGTACTTATTGCAAATTTTTTTTTTTTTTTTCCCAGGCCTTAGATGCCAAAGTAATTATATTCAAGAAAAAGAGAAGGAAGAACTATCGCCGAACCAAAGGGCATCGGCAGGTAATTCAGATTAACAAATTTGATTTGCTGCATTCAGAAAGATGAGAGAGAGAGAGAGAGAGAGAGAAGTGTTGTTTCATCGTGCTTAACATCTGATTGTCTTTTTAGGAACTAACGAAGCTGAGGATAACTGATATTCGAGGACTTGAAAAGCCAGAAATGACGGTAGCTGGTAAGATGGAAAAGGTATCTGTTAAGAAGCTAGAAAAGGTAGCTGTTGCTGCTTAGGAGAGGATTTTTTTACCCATTAGCAATAGTTTCTCTCAGGGTTTTAAAAATCGGCAGTTGCGTATCAGGATTTTGGAGTTCTGTTACTGATATATGTCCGTATCACTAATACCGATACATCTCGATACCGGTATTTAAAACCATGGTTTCTATATATTACTAGAACTTCAAGTTTTTTACTTAGAGGCTCTTTAAATGACTATGCTCCCCTTCCAGTTTTGCCAATGTCTATTTTAATATGTAATATATATTAGGCAAATATTTCTCAATTCTGTTGTAGGGTTGAATAAATTGAATGATACTTGTTTGTATTTCGTTGTGCAAATGCGCAATTCATGGAACTTTGAGCATTGGTTTTTCCCCCCTGCTGAAATAGAATAATGTTTTAGTTTTACAGCACTAGGTCTGTTTTTGTGTTCTTGTGGTCTCAGAATTTACTCAATTGTTTATTGTGTAATGGCTTTGTTCATTTGGGAATTTTGAATAGAAAAATATTAATTAGTTTAAATCTCCATTGTGCCCCAACTTCTGTGTGTGATGAATGAGGCAATGCTTATATCTAGTGTTAGGGTACAAACAAACAGAGAGCTTCTGTTTGCACACATTCATTCCTCTTAGTGCAGTGCACATCCTTCTCAATACACACACTTAAAAAATTAATCCTAATTTATTTTGCTCACTCCACACACGTCTTATTCCACATCTACCCTCATATGTAACTCATGCACACACCCTCTCAGAAAACACACAAAACAGACCTGTCACACACACACACACTCATCTCTCACACTCTACCATTAATCCCCCAAAAGCTTCATCCATCCATTGAAGACGTCTCATTGAAGCATTGGCTTTGAAGAGCATTGAACAAAATCACGTGAATCATTGAAAGAAATCTTCACATTTGGAAAAAAACAACTTTTGTTAGATTTGGGAAAACGACTCAATTTTTTACAGCTTTTCGCTCAATCTGCAAATTAGAGAAAACGACTCAATCTGCAAATTGCTGCTCCCTTTCACCCTTTCCCTTCCATCACGGCTTTTCTCTTTTGTTAGATTTGGGAAAATGACTTAATTTTTTACCATTCAGACTACTAGAGTCAAAAAAATTGCAGCCATTCGGAAATCTACCATCGAACCAATGACTTTTGTTCAAATACCAACTACCGAACCAATAGGGCTTTGTTGAATACCAACCATTGAACCCATTTGGGTTTGCAGAATTAGGTTCACACGGTGTTAAGAGGGATTCACAGAGGTGGAGGTTACAAAGCTGGGGTTTTTTTTGGCAAAGGACAGTTCATGGAAGGTTTGTGATTGAGAAGTGATGGAAAGGGGTTGGCTGGGAGTCGACGGCAGAAAGGAAGGGTGGCTTTAGTGATGGAAGGTAAGAAGATGAGGATATTATTGTATTTTCATATTAGGATAAAATTGTAATAAAAATATTATTCATTAAGTGGGAATAAAGAGGAAATGGTGTGTGCAAATAGAAGCTCCCAAACAAAAATCGGAATTGGCATCAGCAACTTAAGGGTATTCCTTCTCCAGACTTTTCTTTATCATACACATGTTTTTATTTTTATTTTTGGTTTCTTGAACACTCTTTGAATTTGAAACATTTGGATAGAGACAATGACCTAGCATCCCATCTTTGATCATCTTCTACTAGAAACAGTGTGAGATAGTCCCATCAATCGTCCCCATTAACTAGGAAACTTTTTTAATAATTAAGCATATTACTACACACACACACATATATCTTTGGTGGACTCTCAACTTGATTTGGATGAGTCTTTTCACTTTTTGGCCACTACACCATATTTGTCATTTGCCTTCTGCAACTCATCTACCCACAATTTCAAATTCATCAAGCTTCAGTGTGTATGGCAGATATGTTAATTTTTGGAATTTACTCGCTACACGGTTTCGTCTCTAAGCAACATGGTAAGTGTAGATGGGAAGAGAAAAAAGAGATAGGTATATGCAACCTCGCCCCTGATTGGGCTACAAATAAGTTGAGTTGAGCGGAGTTATAAGTTGTTCAAATTGGACATGAAAACGTAACGAGTTTTAATAACATGTTCAAAGTTTTTTTACTAGGCATATATTCTTATTGAGCCAAATAATAGATTGTTCTAATTTAGCTTTAAAACTTAACGAGTTTTAAAATATGTTCAAATTTGATTCATTTGCATAACTAATGTATTGAATGAATTTTTAACGAGTCGAATCGAATATAGATTAAACTAGAATAACTTAGTTTGTTTTGACTATTTATATGCATCTTTATAACCAACTATCAAAATTATGTTATACTAGTATTTTGCTTCCCTCTCCACTATCAAAATTATGTTATGGTTGCATACCCCCTTATCCCTCCTTTGGGTTATATATAGTGTCATCCATTGACATGTACAGATGGAACTTGTTTACAGGCCATGTGGTGGGGCCCAACATGTCCACCTTTGTAGATTTTTCCTCTCTCTCTGCACCTTTACATATATGGATTGTTGAAGAACTTCAAATTTAAGTTTTGTAAATGAAGAATATCCAACCTTTCACAAACTCTAATGTTGTGTTTGGTTGAGAGATTTAGGGAGGGATTTGGAAAAGAAAAGGGAAAAGGTGTGTGAAACTAGGTGAAATATAGGTATATTTTATTCACATTTCACCTAATTTTTCCTTTTTCCTTTCCAAATCCCTCATCAAATCCTCCAACCAAACACAGCGTAAGTGCCACTTATAAGTGGACTCACTTTCTGTGCCACCTGCCCCCCCTCCCCCCCAAAACCCAAACCTAACTATGCATTAACACTTTATTCTAAAGCTCATTTGAGTGCTCCCACTTGTGTTTTAAATATGATTATGTTAATGGAATTCATTGTCATAATAGTCCCTCCACACTTTCTACACCTCACACAAACACCATATAAATCTTCATTAATCAGATTTCTACTTCCATCAATTATTTTAATACATGTTGAGTAATACATTTTTGTATGTTATGCACACTATAATCTTTGTTTCCACTCCAAATCTTCTTTATTAAAGTAAATGCGTTTCTCTCTCTCTCTCTCTACCCCCGCATATTCGTGTAATTGCGTATTGTGCGAGTCTGTGCATGCACACACAATGGTTGCAGGGATGGAGGGAGCATGGGTCCAGGAGAGACATGCCCCTCAACTTTCTAAATTGTATGCTTTAGTATAGGTTTATGAATAGTTCTTTCAATTTGTCCCATCTAAATTTGAATATATACTCTTATATTTTTTCTTTATTTTAAAATAGTTCTTATAATTTGCACTATTCAAATGTTTATTTTATGAGAGAAATCACCTTTACGATATTATAAAGTCTACCTTTAAATGTTTATATTCTATTCTTTTTTATAATAGTTGCTAATTTGTTCCTATTGGTATTTTTTCTCCCTTCTGCGATGAATATATGTACAAATATGTAAAATGATTACTTGGTTTTTGGATGAAATCTCACAATAAAATATTTGCTTATGTTTGAAGACGAAAATTACAATCTAAATCAATGTTGTGATTAGAAATGGGGTTAAGTTTGTTAGGGTCGAAACACGACGGGGTGGGTAATATTATTATAGACATAATATTTTACTTTACTATTGTCCCTTTGAATTAAAATCCCGACTCTGTCACTGCATGATTGCAATCTAAACAAGTTAGATCGTCATGCATGGTTATATTTTTTAACATCGTATAATTATTGATGTTTTAATGATGTCGTCGTTGTTACGAAGACTTGTCAATTTTTAGTAATGCTTTTGAAGGAAAGTGCATTAGTAGGAAATGCAATCTAACTTAACACAATTAGGTCAATTTTTAGTAATGCTTTTGAAGTAAAGTGCATTAGTAGGAAATGCAATCTAACTCAAACACAATTAGGTTGTCTTAGTGGTTTATAATGCAATCAAAATTTATTTAATCAACCGCCACAAAATTATTGCAAAAACTTTTGTTGCATTAAACAAAAATTATACCCAAGGTTACAAGTGGGCTATAACTCCCTTTACTTTTGGCATAGTTTAAAAAATACATACTCTTTCGCGGTTTAGATATTGGATTTATGATCCACTTTCATATACCTAGGTGTCCAATTCACCTTTTTTTAAAACATATCTATGAGGGAGAGAGCCAAAATTGAGAATATCCTAGTTCAATTCCTTCATCCTTCTTTTTTTAATCGTATCGTACAAGTAAAATTTAAAAAAAAATATATATATATATATGTTCATCAAAAGCTCTTTAGCTTTGGGGTATCAACTTAACAAGCTGATAATCTTGGATCAATAAAAATAGTAGTCACAAGATAGGTAAAACCGATTTAATTCACCTTATCGACATGATAGAAGACAAGATCGGTTCATCTATCCCTCTTGTAACGCTTTATAGGTTGGGAGCAGTATATGCATATGTCAGAATAATGCTCTAAAACAATTGAATAATTTTGTGATTAGAGGGAGTATGTCTAGCATGTGCATTTGGCTTTGTATCTAATGCTGTATCTTTTGCTAGACTCTCTTTGTCTACAAAATATTCTCCTAGCATATTCAAAAATGAACCATCAAGAAACAATGCCCACAAATTTGAAAAAGTGGATAAGAAGAAAAAGTAATTCGGTCTCATTTGTGCAATGTCATAAACACATCTTCATTTTTATTTTTTTTGGAATCCATCGATTTTGTGTGGATCCCACATGAGTCAAGAATATATTTTGTGACATTATCATATCAATGCCACGAACAATGCTGAGTAACTGCCCTATAAATAAAAACGGTTGGCTGCAGAAATGAAGGACTCGTCAATATGATGTGATAAGAGTTGACTAACTTTATTTTGTTCCCTACCTATGCTTGTGGCCATGTTATAATCAATTTAGATTTTGTGATCATCTCATTCAATGGCTTGGCACAGTTTATACAATGTGACAATTAAATATACATATATATATATATATATATATAAAGAAAAAAGAAATTTAATACATAATGATCATAATTTGATGGGCACAAGAATATTTTGTGAGATGTTGATGAAAGAATATTGCCTCAGACCCCCACCACCCCTACTGTTTTTTCATTGGTCCATAATTTTATTTTTTTGGATGTTTCACTTGTTGCCCCCACGTGGAGGTGGGGCTGTTGGGGGTCATCCCCACTAGGGATCTCCAGCAGGACTGGTTGATGAAATAACGACTAGTTCTTCACCCTAGAACCAGTGAACCCACTTCTGTAAAACAAGAAATGGGGTGTCCTTTCCACCAAATTTTCTCATTCTTTATGCATAGTAGTGGAAGTTTGAATTATTTTGAATCCACATTCATTGGTCAAGCTACTCTGAGGATTTTCTTATTTCTAATGTTTCAAAGCTCAT